AAGGCTATACAAGGCACAGATAATACAAGAAGACACAGTTATGGATACACAGAGAGTATAGTTATAGTTAAAGAATTGTTGTACATATAAATATATATATATATATTTATATATATATATATATATATGTATATAAATATATAAATATATATATATATATATATATATATATATATATATATATATATATATATATACATATATATATAATGTAAATAGTAGTAGGTAAGACATACATATTAAGGTATTTATATACATATTTGCACAGGAAGAATATGGCGGACTGAAAATATGCCTAGTCGTAATTTTAAGAACTCTCCATATCAGAGAATTAGGTCTGAGATGAGAAAGATAGAGGGATGAATGAAATTTTGATTTGGTAAAAATTAAAGACATGAAACAATAGAAAAGAGAGAATATGAAACTGTATGACAGAACTCCCTTATGCGAGAGAGAGAGAGAGAGATGTGAAAAACTATTAGGATATTGACATGAACTTGAAATACTCAGAAATGTATTTAAATGGCGGACAATGGCTTTGTAAAGCTTAACTGTAACTTTGATATGGCTTAGAAATATATATTGATTGACAGAGGTAGAGATAGAGACAGAGAAAGAGAGAGATACAAATATTTGACATGAAGTTGACATACAGTCTTTCATATATTTTCATTTGATCAGGATTAACTAAACGGACATAACATGATTAGAGAGAGAGAGAGGGAGAGCGAGAGAGAGAGAGAGAGACAGCAAATTGATTATTGAATAGGGACAGAAACAATTATATAATATAAATAAAGAAATTATGACAGAAAAGACAGAAAGAGAGAGCGAGAGAGAGAGAGAAAAAGAGCTTGAGGTAGAAAGAGAGAGATTTAAATGAGAGAAAGAGATAGAGAGAGACCGCTAGAGTAGTTTTAGCATTATATTACATGGAGCAGTTAATATCTTGGTTAGTTGAGTAGACACACAAATAAGGCAGCGCAGTTGTTATTAGAATTGGTATTTTTGGTTGGTATTTTGTTGTTGCTGTTGTTGTTGTTATCAGTTTGGATTGGATGTAGATGTAAGTTGTAAGTTGTACCTCATATCACCATATCCCACCGTAGTCATGGTCACCACGGCCCACCAGAATCCGTCGGGTATGGACTTGAAAAAGGAACTTTCGCTGCCAGCCTCCGCGAAATAAACGGCCGATGAGAATAGTACAACGCCTGGGCGCAATTTCAAACAGAGATCAGCGATAGATTAGTTTCAGTTTCATTAAATATTTTATATATATATACACATATATGTTGAGTGGAATATAAACAAAAATAATAATAATAAAATAATAATAATAAGGAATAGAGAGAGAGAGAGATAGAAAGGTATAGACAGACAGTGACAGAGAGAGAGAGAGAGAGTGAGAGAGAGAGTTTATTTCAGTTAGTTTTCTGCTTGGGTCTGAGCTCGTTTTCACCTGCTGGGGAACTGTTTAAGAGATCAATATCAACATATATACATATATGGATGAGAGGAGCCCCGAAAGCTGCTCATTGTAGTGTACAGTATGTATAGAGTGCTCGTCAGTCGACTATGAGCGACTACGAGTTAAAGATGCTGATTAAAAAGAGTTCTAGTATTTTATGTATGTGTGTTTATCTGATTATGGTTTGAGTTTTCTTTTACTGGTATATATATTAATATATAATAATAATAATATATATCATAATATATATATAGAGATAGTATTTGGCTTTGATATTAATCTGTGCAGAAACTATAAAAAGGTGTTACAAAAAGATATTGCAAGTGAAGTAGAATGTTAAAAACAAACTGTGTAGATCACTTTGTTCTTGGGCAAGTAAGTATGTCTGTGTATGTCGGCTGTTTCGGGTTATATAGATAGATAAATGTGTGTGTGGGAGCGTATGTGTGTGTGGGAGTGTGTGTTTTACATAAATAGATCGCAAAATATTACAAATCGAAAAAATAGGGAAATGCTCAGAACGAAAGTCTTCGGCTCAGACCGAAGGTGCAGTGCACAAATGTTGAGACCCAAGCGCAACTCTACGATTTGGCCAACATTTGTGTAGTTTATTGGCTGATCAGCTCAAAAGGCAAACGACAAGTTATCGATCTATCGATGAATCGATTTGCTTGGCCTTATTTTGCTTTGTTTAATGTTAGGTTAGTAATGCTTCTAGATTGTTGCAACTAACTATAGTATCTAGTATATTATGACATTATTTAGTAATCTTTTGGTATTTTTTTGTTGTTGTCGCTATTTTCATAATTGTAGAGTTTAACAGAGAAACTAGCTAGATAGGTACTTTGTACAATACGAAATACATACGATATTTGTAAATATATTAGTTAATATGAGATATATATATAAATATATAAGTATATATGTTAGATATATACTACACTACGGCAAGGCAAATGATATACGAAATGAAAGAATAAAGTAAATACAGAGAATATGTCGTTTCAATGCATATCAATTTGGCCGCATCGTCGGTGAAGAAATATCTCTCCATGAGCGCTCTAGAATTTCCGTTCTTTTGTGAGTTCTGTAAAGTTATTCTAAACTAGGTAATTATATATGTATTTGTATGTAGGTATTATTAGAGATGCACAGCAGGCGCTAGTACTTAACCAACTATCCTGCCATTTTAGTTTAGCCATAAAAAATCAACGCAACTATAGAAACAAAAATAATAAAATATGTTAAACGAAACGATATTCGAACACAGACAAAACTCAACTCGAACGCAAACTGAGAGACCTCTGCTTGAGATAATCTTGGTTTTTTGTTTTCATATTTATCATAGTTAAGTAGTAGGCGATATACTATATATATCATATATACATATTTAATGGTAAGTATTAATTAGTCAACGGATACAACAACAAACTATAAAACTAAATGAAAGCCAAAGAAACGACATCAAAAACAACGTAGATGAAGTTACGTTTACAAATACGATAACGAGTACGGTTACGGTTACGATTACGATTACTATTACGAGTACGATTACGAGTACGGTTACGGTTACGGTTACGGTTACGGTTAACAACTTGATTATGTTAAAACGTGAACAACAATACAAAATATATATATGTATATAGGTAAAGTATATGTTATAAAAAATATTGTTTTATTTTTCGAAAACTCTCATTTGAATTCAAATCAGAATTCTAGTATTTATCTAGTATTTGTCTAGTATTTTTCTAGCATTTTTATTTTGTGTCATCTTGGACAATTCGACGCAAAGAAGCTTGCCAATTTTAAGGCATTTCGTGCGCAGTTTGTGCAGAAAACAAGGACAAGAAGTAAAATATATGACAGTTTTGTTGATGGGTAAATAAAGCAGGTATCGATAAATATAATACAGATGATACATAGTTATCGATGGACGTGGCGATGGAAATGGAGTTAAATTGAGCCTTACACTGCAACAAAATACGTAGGAACCTTAAAATTGCCAACGACTTAAGCGATTGGGGCGTTCATATAAAAACCATAAAAATCGTGTTTTTACACTGTCAAAGTATATCAGGAGTAATAGACTAAAATTCGAGTACATTGACATTAGATTTGTTTTCTAGCCAAAAGACGATGTAAAAGGATGTTATAGTTGGCATACATACATATACGTAGGTATGTATGTGTGCATGTATCGATTTTACTGTTACGTTTACTGATACCAATACTGTTATCGACTAGCTAAAAGCTGTTCCGGGCCCAAAAACCAAAAAGTTAATGAAATCAAGAAATATATATAAAAATAAATGGAAACAGAGAATCGGGGTTTTTCGTTTGTTGTGGTTACTAATACTTAAGCTAATTAGTAGACGACAATATTATATAGTATATATATAGATATAATCGCAGCGGGTAATTACACATACATCATATATCTCGCTGTTAATATATAGGTATCACGCTCTAGAGGCGCCTAAGTGTATGCTGCATCTGGTATTTAACTATATAAGCTACGCGTATTATGTAACTAAGTAGTTGGGTTTCGTATAGTATAGTATAGTTTAGTTTAGTTTAGTTTAGTTAGGTATATAAATAGTATAAATCGTATATTGTATAGGCATGTTTAATTCATGATGGTATTTTCATGTATACGTAAGCTATACTGTAATTGTTAGGCAGTAATTAGCATTAACTAGAGTTGTAGAGTATATATTACTTTAATGTATTGTTTACTTTAGTTTAGCTTGTATTGAATCGTAGAGCACGTATATACACTTTGTATATATGCATGGATAATTCATCTTATATATCCTAGGCAAAAGTATTTGGGAATTCACTCAAAAATACTGACAGACAGAAAAGATCATTCGATTGAAAGATGATCTTCAATGCGATCTGGAGCTCTGGGGAGTTTTTTGTTTTTGGTTTGGTTTCGGTTTTGGATAATTGAAATGACAAATGAAAATTGTTAAAAAGCATATAAATTGGCTTAGTATATAATACGTTCGATATAAAATCGAATAGTTTGCTTCTTTTTGTATTTTATGTGTGTATTGGTATATTTGGTATTTTCGTGTTTTAAACAAATGGTGAGGAGTTCAAAATGTGCTGGCTGTTTGTAATGTACTTAGATTATATATATAATGTATATAATTAAAATATTACTGTAGCTGGTATTTTGTTGGTATATTTAGTATTTTTAGCAGGACTTTGTTTAATATTTTCCTATAACGTTGTGGTATTCCTAAGCGGTAAATAGGTCGGGACTGAGTTGTTTAAGGAGTGGGTTTGTTAGAGTACAGGTCGCTTGTCGTAAAGGTCGTTGTTTAGTATCAAAAAAATAGTAGATTCATAAGATTGTTTTTTTTTTTCTTTTTTGTTGTTGTAAGTAAGCAGTTAGGTGTAAAATATATGTATATAAAGTATGTGTGCGCGTGTGTATAAGTGTGTGTGAGTGTGTTTAGTTGCTGTTGTTTGTTGGTTGTTGTTTGTAATTGGTTTGTTGGCTGTTTTGTTGTTAACTTACCTATAAATAAGAAAAATATAAGTAAACCTAATTCCCGCATTGAGGCTTTCAGAGTTCGTCCTAATATTTGTAAACCCTTCGAATGCCTAGATAACTTAAATATTCGAAATACTCGAACTAATCGTATCACTCGTAATATTGCCAAGGACATAGCCTGATTCGATGACTTGTCCTAAAAATTTATAATTATTTATAGATTTGTAGATTGAGATGTATGCAACAGGTTTTTGTAAGTTCATAAAGATAGGAATGTATATAAATATATATATATATATATATATATATATGTATACACAGAATGTATATATATATATATAGGTATGCGAGTGTGAGAGAGAGTGTGCCACGAGTTTGTCACTTCGATTTGTGTCTCGAGTATTTGATTTTAGTTTAGAGTTAGTTAGTAATTAATATACAACAATGATTCGTACTGTAATACGATATTGCAAGAGCACTAGGATAGGCGTTTATAGGTAAGTAGTATATATATCAAGTATATTACGTAGGCAGAAGCATTGCTATCAAATCATAAGCTGATTATATATGTATGTATGTATATGTATATGTAATTGTTTATGTATTTGTTCAATGTTTCTCGCAGTTGAGCACATTCATATGGTAAATATAGAATTTCAAAAGAGAAATCATAAATTTCAAAGCAGGCAATTCGTTTATTACTTATTAGCAAACCAAAAGAGATTAGTTTCAGAATTTTTTTTTAAAGAGATTCTTGTTCTCTTCATTTTCTTTTAGAAACACAAAAATATTAAACATAAAACAAATTTAAATTTGTTCTCTTTTTTTAATATGTACATTGTACATGTTTTGTTGTGTGTGTGTGGGTGTGTGCGAGTCTGTGAGCGTGTGATTTAGCTTTACAGTTTTGGCCAAACAAAAATCTCATACCTGTGGACTGACTGGCGCTTTTGGAAGATTCAACGTATCCTCCTCTTCGGCAACGACAGTCGCTAGTGTTATAAAGTACGGAATGATGGCGATTATGTCGATAACATTCATGACATCCCTGCAGAAATTTAATTTGTTCGGACATGCGAGGAACCTGCGCGGTCGCAACACAAAAAATAAACAAAACAGAAAAAAAGTAAATTGTAACAACGCGATGTGACAGAGACGTCAAAGAAATACAAATACACAGAGAGACAGAGCGAGAGAGAACGAGAAAGAAAGAGAGGGAGAGAGAGAGAGAGAAAGAGACAGTGAGAGCGAGAGACAAACATAGTATGATTCAGAGTAATACAGTGTGGAAAAGAAGAAGCAAAAAAAGAAAACGTACAAATATATTACATATATATATCAAGATGTTCTATCCATTGTATGAAAGTTCATTAAGATCTAACTAGATATTACAATAAATAAATCAAAAGTAATTTAGCCGAACTTAACGATCTTATAGTTGATATCCTTTAGCCGTTAAGCACTTTTTTTCCACAGACTCTCTTTAAGTCTTTGATCCGACAACTCTTGGCTTACAGCTCTAAAGTAAGTCGTTCGTAAAGTTGGTTATCTTACTACTCTAATTTAGATAAAACAATAATATATGATTCAAGAATTAAGATGCAGATGCCCAGCTATAGCCCCCATTGAGTTGGTGACAACCCCGCAACGATTCTACGTCTTACAAACTGAGTTAGGGATAAGTTAAGGTTCTTTAATGTTCATTCATACCTGACAGTTAGTTCAAATGTAAACCAAATAATACATAACGTTTCTATAAGGAAGAAAGGATCTGTGATGTCAGGCACCTCGTCTTCCTCGATTTTTGTGCCATTTGTTGTTGTATTGAACACCTGCAAAGCAAATGGGATCAAAGCATATGAATTTCGATTGCAGCTCCATGTGGACATTGGACTTAGTTTTGGATGCCGCGCGCGTCTCGTACGTACCTTGTAATGCTTAAATTCGGGTAATGTTTCTAGACAAAATATAACAATTGATAGCAATATAACAAATACACTAATTATGGCTACAACTCTGGCGGCTTGCGAGCTCTCTGGGTACTCAAAGAGCAGCCAGACTTTTCTTTGTTTCTCATTATCCGGTAATGGTCTTTCTTCCTCTTTAATAAAGCCTTCATCCTCTCTGCATTGAAAGAATAAATAGAAGATTAATTGTTGTTAGCAATACTCATATATGTGTATATATTTGTGTATGTGTTTGCGTGTGTGTGGGCGTGTGTGTGTGTGTAAAAGCTTTTCATTTAGACTGGTCTTTGTGTTGGCCCTAGGCAGCGTTTTGGTTTGGCAGCCAATTGGGGAGCTCTACAATTACAGTGCGCTAATTAAAATGAATCGCTTATCGTTTATCGCTTATCGATAAGTCGCAAAATCAATAACATAAGCGGTTCAAGCTTAAGTTGAAATGATAATCATGAATTGAGGCTTTGGTTTGATACGGTGCAAGTTATGCCTGCGCTTCATCTTCTGGGTTCTTCCTCTTCATTAGTTTCATCATCTTTGCTCCACTGCTCGCTTGGGGCCGGCCACAGTGCCCCCCTTTATTGCCGTATGAACAAAATTTTAAGCTGGTGGTCAAGTGATTAACAAGTGATTCGACAACGGCCTCGAGCTTTCATACAGTCTCGTTCGTTCTATTGTCATTGTGCTGCTGTCGAGTGTGCGTGCGAGTGTGTGTGTGTATCGGTCTCTCTCTGTGTGTGTATGTGTACGTGTGTGTGTGTATTCCCTTTGTTTAATTCAATTCGCATGAAAGCCACAAAGTATGTAAAACGTTCAATAATTGCCAACAAAAGTCAATTGAAAGGGAAGCCACAGATTGCAATAGACAGCAACAACAGGTGTAATAAAAGTGTGTGTGTGTGTGAGCTGTTTCTCGTTTCATAAATTGTTCTTAATATGAACACATATTGTGGCTATTACTGTGCCATTCAAATGGCTGACCTCCAGCAAGAGGACTAAAGAAAGAACTTTGTGATTTAAATACATTTGTTTTCCTTCCTTGCAAACAAACTACTGTGAAATATTGGCAATAAAAGTTTACACAAGTTTCTAAAAGGCAAAGAGCAAGTAAGCAAAAATAACAGGTGTGTCACACTTCTCCAATATGGACCCTCTATGTGATATATTTCATTTAGTATAATTTATATTCGAATCCACTTTTCATAGCATTGTGAAACGCCCTCTGTCATTTCTAACGTTTCACTTCCATGTTTCATTTCCAATGTTTCTTATATTTCAAATAGCACGTTTCATAATATCATATCATTATATCATTACTTTGGAGTTTCGTAACTTTGGCTTTGTTTAACAAACCATTTAACCACTGATAGTTGCTTCTTGTTGAGTTTGGCTTGACTTTGCATTAAGTTTAGACTTACGCCAGAGACACGCTTTCAAGTTGTTGAAATTGGTTCTGTTCGTCAAACTTATCATGCACTCGCTCATTTTATGGCGTACATAATGATGAGGCCCTTAAGCAGAATTGTCGCATTTGAAGTGAGGATAATCCCCAAGCTTATCTCGAAACACGCAGAGAAAATTACTTTTTAGTGTGTTTTATGTACTGTTCGAGTCGATATGCTCCGTTTGTCGCTGATAGTGACGTTTTTAGGAAATTTGTGGTTACGTCAGCTATGGCAGCCACATTGCGAAAATAATATTTGAGCACTAAAGTCATAAAAAGTTCTATCCAATTGAGCTCGATTCATTGATATTTATAATATATTTATTTGCTTTATAATGGTTCAAGCTTAGATAACTCAACTAAAATTTGTCATTTGCCATTTTTCATGTTCCATTGCCATGTTCCGCATAAGAAAGACACTACATTTCATTTGCCATACTTCAAATACCACGTTTCATGTTTCATATGGCAACATATGCCATGATTTATATGACATATACCACACGCTCAGTAGCATTTGATATGCCAATGTGCAACGCTTACAAGCGACATTAATAGATCAGATAATCACTAGGGACTTACTTACATTATAGCCATATTAAATTGCATATTTATTTAATAAAGTTTGTGTGCACAGGTGCAAAGTGGAGGGAAAACTTGAATTGAAATACTTAACTAATCGGATTATTCGTGTGTCAAATACTGTTGCAGCTTCTACTAAATGCAATATACTGTGCAATATGTTGAATTGTGGTTTCGTCTGTTTGTGTGTGTAGTTGGTTGTCTTGTGTGTCAGGTATCTACGTGCCGTGTTGCATGCCTTGTGGGAGAGGAACTCGGTTAAACAATCAGCTGCCGCCAATAAGCAAAGCCAATTCGCTATTTGCTGCACTTGAGTTTAAAAAAAGATTCTTTTGTTTTTGTTCTGGTTTTTTTAGCTGTGTATAAAACAAGTGGGAAAGCTTCAGAAGAGACTGCCCGACTAAAAGATACTTGGCTGCCATTGGAAATTCAATTTATCGACATAAAATACAATTTCAATAAAAATTTTAGGTAAAAGATTTTTCAAGTTTTTAGACAAAAAAAAAAAAAAAAGAAAAACAAAAAATAAAAAATAAATAAATAAAATTTTTAATTTTTAGTTTAATTTTAATTTAAATAAAATAGATATGATTAATTTTTACTAGATTAGTTTTGTATCTCTTGAGAACCATGATTTTTGTTATTTCATAATGGCAAACAGAAAGCTACGATTTTTTAGAACTTCAGCTAGTCCCGGATATTTTTCAGTCGGGCATTCGCAACGAAAGCATATTTACTTGTTTCGTTTTATTTCGATATATTGTTTTGGAATTTTTGTTCAGTTTTGTTTTTGTTTTTGATATTTTTTCGGGAGATTTGTGGGGCAACAGGCTTACCTGAATTTATTAATTGCTTGATCACCTAATTCATAAAATTTTATTTCTTCACTAAATACGTCTAAAGGGACATTGACCGGTCTCCGTAGTCGGCCACCTGTGAAGTAAAGGCAAGCGAATCGTAATCGTGTGGCAGGTGTATGTGTGTGTGTGTTTTGGATGGGCGTGGCATGTTGTATATAGAGAGTTGTATGTTTATATTGTTCGTATTGGTATGCGGTATGTGGGAGAAGAGAAGAGTAAAAGTGAAAAGACATTAGAAAATTGTTCGCGAAGAGTGAATGGCACTTCACTTGGCATTCCATTTGTATGGCTGACTACTTACCACTCTGATAATAGTATAAAATCGCATCGAAGCTCGGACGACTACGGTCAAAAAAATATTCATTTCTAAGCGGGTCAAAGTACCGTAATCTTCGAGCTGGATCCCCAAGCAGTGTGTCCGGGAATTGATTTAGCGTACGCAGTTGTGTTTCAAACCTTAACCCGCTTACCTGGAATTCAAGCAATTAAGATTGTAATGTGTAAGCATATGCCTCGGGCCATTCGGGCTCTTACATTTATAACGACTCTCTCGCAGAAATCATGATCGTGAGGAATGGGTTCAAAGTGTTGTGGTCCGCCACCAAAGCCATGACCAGCCCCCCCTTCTTCGTCTTGACTGCTCAATTTGGGCAAAGACCTGTTGATGAAACAAAACCAAATAACTAAATTAGATATCTTAAAAAAACGAGAAAGTTCCATTAAGTATTAAATATACGCCAAAGATCTAAACAGTTCAGGCAACTTTGGCTTAGGTAGAATTTAGTTTAAAGTTCACTTAATTCTCTGGAAGTAGCATTCAGAGAGATAGACAACGTACATACCCAATACAATAAATGAGAAGGTGAGAGAGTTCATAAGAGGTCGGGATCGAAAAAGAGAGTGAGAGAGCGAGAGAGAGGCAAAGAGATAAAGGAAAAGAGGACTACATTAAATGAATAAGAGAGAGAGAGAGAGAGTCCCGCTCTCAATTCAGGAAAAGAGAGGAAAAGATAAAGATAGAAAGAGAAAGTGAGAGAAAGAAAGGGAAGTATGTAGAGTATTGAGACAGATGAAGACAAATGGAAGGAGAGAAAGATAGAGAATGCCTAAGGGAGAGATAAAAGGAGAAGGGCAAAAGAAAGAGGTGGTATATGGGAGAGAGAAAGCTATATAGAGGGGACAGGCATAAGTCAGAGAGAGGGGGAGAGAAAAAGTGAGAAGAGGGTAATAGACAAAAAAAAGATACGAAGACAGAGAAAAAGGAAGAGCAAGAGATCCATCTTCACTTTTTTTGTATATTTATATCTTAATTTCTGTCTTGATTCTTTTTGATAGAAATATACTGAAAAAGAGTGAGAGAGATAGAGAACTGAAAGCGGAGTATACAGAGAGCATAATTAAAGTACAGAAGATTAATTGAATTTAACTAAACAGCAGAGCCAGTAGATTCATTCATTCATTCAGAATGTTTGACCAAAAGAGAAAAGTCAAGGAGAAACTCGTCTATTTCTCCTGTTGCCGGCAGATGAAGAAGATGTCATTAGATAGCACCAACCAAGTGCTATTTGTATGGAATACAATTCTGTTGCCTGAGCCATAGGTCTTAGCTCATTTTTGCAGTTGTCGCTGCCGTCGCTGCGCCCCAATTAAAGATACTTTTTCCGCCATCTGCTGCTAAGCCAAACCAAAAGTCGGATGTAACGCGCAGTGGGAACCTGTCGGATTTATTTGACTATAGAAAGGCAAATAAATGTTTAGGAGTCGGGCGCGCTCTTAGCCAGCTAAGACTCGAGCTGGGCTAAGACTCTCACTGCTAGCTGCTACGGGCGACAGCTGGAAGCTGCGGCTTAAAAAGTATTTACAAGTGCTTAAGTCACAAGGAATTCACAGATATTTGTCATGAAATGAGCCAATTGGATTATGTATTTAAATTTGCTTGGAAGCCCACAGCAAATCGAAATGCGAAACAGAATCTGAAGCTGATGCTGATGCTGAGATCCGAATCTGAAGCACTTTGACAATCGTCTGCATTTGTCACACATTTTTGCGCAAATATTTCGTATGCTTATTCGGAGGCTTTGCCCCTATTTGTCAACTCAATCTATTAAAACGAACTGTCATAAATTGGAATTTGTTTTGAGTGAATTTCGTATGCAGAATGAAATATGCACGAGATGCATTATGCAGCAATCACATCAAATGCTGAGCTGTAATTGATATTTGATGTTTGATATTTGATATTTGATATTTACTATTTAGTTGTTATTCATTTGGCTTAGCCTTTGGCTTTTGGGCCTTGCAGTGTGGCAAGCCGCACCCGCAGTCGCATGTGGCAGTGGCAGTGGCAGGGGCAGGGGCAGTGGCATACCGGGCCCATTGAGAACCATTTAATGCGCATTCAACTGGCGGCAAATTGCAATACTTTTTGGCCCAATGCCCTGCCACACGCCACATGCCACACACAGACATAGCTCTGCCTCCTGCACTTGGTGTTGTTCTTCTTCTCCTTGTTGGGCTTGAGCCCGCGGCAGCACAGGAAGGCAATAAATGTTTACACATGTAATTGAAATTGTATTACAATCCACATAGATATGCCCACTCACTTCATATATATATATATATATATATATATGGGGAGAGAGAGAGTGAGAGGCGCTGCTGCAGCTATAGTAAAAGGCGTTGCATATGAGGAGGCGCCACGGCTGGCAAAGTGCCCAAAATGGCAGCCAAAAGAATTTTATGCAGCCTTTCGCCCTTATCGCTGATGTTGCCAACAACGTGCAGCACTTTTCCCCGTTATTTTTGCTTTTTTCCCGCTGCGGGGGCCAGGCCCTGGCAACCTTTTGATACCCTGCACACATGAGAAGGTTTATCAAATTGAAAATTGAAATTACAAGTACTTTACGATAGTTGAACACTTCTTAAGGCGACTGAACAGATATGTCAAGCAGAAGCTAGACATGAAAGCGAAGGCAGGAACTCAATAAATTGTATCTATTTAATATGATATAGCAGATTCTTGTATAGCAAGAAGTTTTAGTAAGATACCAGAAGACTTTTAACTCATATTGTTGAGCTATTCGTGCCATAAGCTGAATGATCAAGTGGCTCGATGCTGATAAGAATCGACTGAAAAGGTAAAGGCATGAATTAAATGCCAAACCATTGTCAGCTTTATATAGCATAAGCTGATCTAATGGGAACGAAAGCTAGGGCAAGGGGAATGGTTAACATAGAGACAGCTAATTGGAGCTGGTCAACATGTAGGTTGGTATTCGTGCAGGATATGTGGCAGTCGTGGCAGATGCCACCTCGCTTTCTGCTCAATTTTTGGCCGTCGAAGCGTTGCTGCATGGCATGTTGCCTACTTTTTGGCACCCGGGGCATTTAATTAAGCGTGTAAGTGCACGGTTGGTGGTCCGAAAGAGGAGCAGAAAAGAACGACAGCTCGCCAGGCCAGCCAGCAATCTAGTAAAGCACCTGCCACGCCTCACGCCCAACGCCCACGAAGCCTGCTGGATGGCTTAATATTTTGGCCACATAATTGCATATTTGATGACTCGCATAGATACAGAGCGCCGCTCGCCACAGCCAGTGGATGTGGGCGTGGGTGTGAGGCAACGAAATGCAATTCTGCATAATTGAGATGCCAACTGAGACGAATTGTTGGGCAATAGGCAACGGCAGCGACTAGGCCGACTGACTAGTCGACTGGGCGCGATGTTAACAAACAACTCAGCTTTGAGGTTATGTTGTTTGCGTGTCGCGTTGCGTGTTGCATGTTGCATTGCGCATGACGTCAGCGACATACGTCAAGTGACACACATAGTTAGTTATGTGTGTCTGTATGTTCATGCCGCCTTTTATTTAGCCATAAGCACAATCTGTGCATACGGATAATTAAGCACAGGCGACAGCGGTCAGGCAGACGCACACACACACACACACACACACACGCATACTGATGCACACACACAGCTTAAATGTCAACAAACAATTGAAGTTTTATGCAAAACGCCAACACAAAACTGTGCCTGTGTGTGTGTGTGTGTGTGTGCTCAGGTTGAATATTCATTCACACACACGAACTACTTGATAGGCGGCCTGCTTTCTCTATGTGTGTGTGCGTGTACGTGTGTGTGTTTATCTATGTAAATGTTTTAGCTGTTGCTCTCTCCCTCCCTCTGTCATGTACTAAAGGCAACATACTATATACATATGCATGTGTGTGTATATGGGTCAGCGGCACGACTGTGACGTCATTGTGCAAGCATCGCGCAACGCCGTGTCTCGACCTATTTTCAAGCCGGGCTAACATTTTTATTTGCTTTTACACGCTGTTTCGCATTCGCAATCGCATTCGCATTCGCATTCGCATTCGAATTCGGATTCGTTGCTGCACTTCCGGTTGTATGGCAGGCGTTGCATAAGCAGCTACTGCCTCTGCATGCAGCTGAAGTTCAATGCGATAGCAAAGCCAAGTCGAAAGCAGGTCGACTCTAGTGCAAAATCACAGCTCATAAATCTTATGGACAGCATCTTGGTAGGCAGTCACCGCCCTCAGCCCGCTCTCCTGCCTTGTTAAGCCTCTCGCTTTGCCTGTCTGCCTCTGTGTGTGTGTGTATGTGTGTGTATGCTCTTGTCTGAATGCATGCCGGTCAAGGCAACACGAGTAATCTGCTCTCGCACGGACTGTCTGTCCAAGTTCCCACTCCCCTAGCTGCCCTCCCCGTCCCTCCCCCTCTCGCTAAGCCTCTCGCCTGCTTGTTCGACACGTTTATATATTGCAGTAGACTCTATTTTTAGTCCATGTCTTCGTATAGGGTATATGCAGTGTGCATGTTGTGCACACTTCTCATGCTGCGGCACGTTCTTCCACATAAATATATATACATAAATATATATATATATATATATATATATATATATATATATATATATATATTTCTTGCTTCTGCTGCTGTGGGGCCAATTAATGGAGAAAAATTAAATGCAAATGCAGCAACAGCAGCACTAGCAGCAGCAAATGCTGCGACACTCGCGGGCCAAATACGTGACATCAATTTGGCCAACTTGTCCCCAAGAGCCTTGAACTGGCGCATCTACTTAATCAGCTGCGAGTGTGTCAGTGTGTGTGTGTGTGTCTGCGAGTGCAGTTAATCAAAATTGCTGACAATAAAAACTGCTGCAAATGGCAATCAATGAAGAAGAATAAGAAGAAGCGCAAGATGAAGCAGAAAAACTAGCTGCGGCAGCAGCTTTTCAGCAACAACAAAATATATTGCATACCCTACGGCGCAGCCCAGTGATATATATGGATATATATCTTATGCTGCAGATAAATCTATATATATACATTCTATGTATTGTATTTCAATATATAAAACTAAAGCCGCATCAAAAGTTTTCAGCGCAGAATTCATGTTGAGGCAAAATTGAGCCACAAAAAGCCCACAAAATCGATTGAGTTCTGACCACGTTATAGAAGTTACTAGATTACTTAGCAAGTGCAAATATTTATCAATTATATATATATCATATACATATATTTATAATTTTTGATTGTTGTGGCTTTGCTTACTCTCATCTCTTATAGCTTTAATTTCATCTGCCTTCCAGTTTAGCGTCTACTATCAACATAGCTGCTCTAACGCTTTG